TTATAATTTTATGTTGTCTCAGCTTCCATTCTGCATAAAGTTTAACTTTCTTATACCAGAAATAGTGTGGTCAACTGGATTTCCACCTTATACAACTGCTTCCTGGTGACCACTTCTCTGGGGGACAGATAGATACAGTATACCTGATTGGCTGTGCTGACCTTCACACCCTGCGTGGACTGTGCAGCTATGTCATAATAACCACCTCTCAGCAACAATGTGGTCTCTTGGAAATTGTGTCTGCTTGCTTTAAACCTAACAACCAAAACTTCCCCTGGAAAACTTATTTGAATAACATCCTGGCCCCAATGAAAGCACTGGCCCATAGGTCCCTGTCTCTCTCCCTGCCTTCATGCCTGACCAATATGTGTGTGGCCTCTGGTCATGCTGAGCACCTCCCCCCGCCACACACACCAGGACCCATAAGCAATAGAAGATTGCCATCTTATATGTCCTAATTGTTGAAGGGGTACTCTCCATCTCAAGGACCCTGAATTAAAACAGTGGCGTATATGATGGGAGAAAAGAAACTTTTTAAAAAAGGAAAATAATTGAGAGCATAATGTTACCAAAAAAAAAATTTTTTTTTAAACTAACATGTACTGAAGACTTATTATCTGCCAGCCAACCATTTAAAGTGTTTTACAGGTATTAGTTCATACAATCTTTACAGGAATCTGAGCTAAGAATTAATATCATTATTTTATAAATTAAAAAATTATGCTACAAAGTAATTTTCCCAAGATTATACAATGACTGGTCCAGTAAGGTTTCAAACCCATACAAACTGACAACATTCTAAGGACTAACTACACAGAAAGATCTGCAATAATGTTGAGAAGGGAAGAAAAATGAGGGTTTCAGGAATTAAAAGAAAAGAAGCAAGCAAGGATCTGTAAGAACAGGCAGTGTGAGGAACCACAGGAAGGAGAGGGCACCTCCACATGGCGGCAGAGCAAGAGCAGAGACACATGGGCACCCTTTGGAAAGCTGATGATTACAGGAGTACCCACTCACTTCCAACAGTGTGTGACTTTTAAGAGGTGCTTTCTAAAAAGCATTCAAAGGTGCCTGTCCTTCACTGACCAAATGGGATCTCAGTTCCCATCTGATTTTCTCTCACTCACCTGGACGGCTCCAATGTAGGTTCTTTCCTTCTACAAACCATGGCTTTTGTCCTCACTTCACCATGAGGATCACTTTTGTTTGGTACTTATACACGCTCTTCATGGGAAAACAACACACAAGAGGGGACAAAGTACTGGGGACAAACAGCTATCTCAGAACTTAGAACTGCCTCGAGTCTTAGGCATTTAAAGGATGACAAGTAGGTTTTAGAACAAACTGAACTCGGAAGTTCAGGGCCAATTTTATTAATGCTTCAGAATGTTCCCAGCTCTCACATGTCTTAAAGGGAGTGCACTATATTGGTACATTCCAAGTTACACAGTTACCACCCTCTGTCCTTACCCACTGACATGAGGTTTTTATAGTTCTCCAACATCACATCCCAATACAGGGAGGGATCTCTGATCACAATCAAGCAGCTGCCATTCCTCTGAAGTGAAGTCCACAGCCACATCCTGGAATGTCACTGATTCCTGTAATAGCACATTCTTCTTCAAACTAGTGTGTGCATTATTAGGGACTTGCAAGAGAATCATGATAATCTCTTAATATCACCTTGACTCTTGAGTGTGTAGAAAATTATGTACAGTAACTACTATACACTTGATTCAGAAATAAACTTTGCAATAGCAACAAAAATCGTATTAAAAAGTCCAACTAGTGCCAGAAAAATTCAACAAGGGAAAGAAAATGGTGCTGAGACAATTAGATTCCCCCACACAGAAGAATAAAGTTGATCTCCCACCCACCTCATAAAACAAACAAAATATGAACTAAAATGGACTAGGGACCTACATGTCAGGACTAAAACTGTTAAACTCTTAGGAAAAAGACACAGGAGAAAATCTTTGGCAGTGGCTTCTTCTTCTTCTTTTTTTTTTTTTAAGTTGTAGATGGACACAATACCTTTATTTTATTTAATTTTACGTGGTACTGATGATAAAACCCAGTGTCTCAGATGTGCTAGGCAAGTACTCTACCACTGAGTTACAACCCAGCCCCCAGGCAATGGCTTCTTAAATATGACAGAAAAGTATAAGGGACAAATGATAAAATCAATTTGAATTCATCAAAACTAAAAAACTGAGGATATAGCTCAGTTGGTAGAGTGCTTGTCTTGCATGCACAAGGCCCTGGGTTCCATTCCCAGCACCACACACACACACAAACAACCTTAAAAACTTTGTGCTTCATAGAACACAATAAAATAAGTAAACCTGGGTGTGGTGATGCATGCCTGTAATCCCAGCTACTCAGGAGGCTAAGGCAGAAGGATAGAAGGATCACAAGTTCAAGGTTAGCCTCAGCAATTTATTGAGGTCCTAAGCAACTTAGTGAGAGCCTGTCTCAAAGTAAAAAATAAAAAGGTCTGGAATGTACCTTTACTGGTAAAGCACCCTTTGGGTTCAATCCCCAGTACCAAAAAGGAAAAGAAAAGAAAAACTCGCAGACTAAGAGAAAATATTTACAGATCATATATCTGACAAGAGATCTATATCAGAAAAAAGCACTCTTAAAATTCAAGAAAAGACAACTTAAATTAAAAATCAGCAAAGGATTTAAACAGACATTTCTCCAGATTTATTTTTATATATATTAGACTTTACAAAGTAAACAACTGCAATGCCTGAAGTGATATGTGCATGTGTGTATAGATCTTGTACTACAGTACAATATTTTCAAGGTTGATTTCTGTTGTAAATATATCAGTACTTCATTCCTTTTTTTAGTACTGAATAATATTTCATCTTGTGACTATATTACACTTTGTTTATCCATTTGTCAGTTCATGGACACCAGATTGTTATATATATATGAGAAAGGTCAATAAGCACATGAAATAATGATAAATATCATTATTCATTAGTGAAATGCAAATCAAAACCACAATAAGGTACCACAGCACACCCATGATGGTGGCTAAAATAAAAGGCAGACAATTACAAGTGTTAGCAAGCACATTGAGAAAGAGGAACTCATACATTTCTGGTGGGATTGCAAAATAGTGTAGCAACTATGGAAGACAGTTTGGCGGTTTCTCAAAATGTTAAACATATGACTAGGAATTCCACTCCTAAGTATATACCTAATAGAATCAAAACCCTTGTATATGTAAAAATTTATACACAAATGTTTGTGGCAGAATTATTCACAGCAGCCAAAATGTGGAAACAATCTGATGTCCATGACCTGACAAATGGATAAACAAAATGTGATATATCCACAGGATGAAATATTATTCAGTATTAAAAAGGAATGAGGTACTGATATATCTACAATGGGGATGAACCTTGAAAATACTGTACTGGGTAAAAGAAACTAGTTACAAAAAATCACATATTGTATGACTTCATTTATATGAAAAGTTCAGAATAGAAAAGCCATATAAACAGAAAGCAGATTAGGGAGGAATAGGGAGTAATTGCTAATGGGTATCTGGAATTCCTTTTTTCCTGGCATGATGAAATGTTATAAAATTACAGTGGCAATGGCTGTACAATGCTGTGACTATAATAAAAACCACTCAACTGACACCTTAAATTAAGTCACTGTTGTGATATGTGAATTGCATTTCAATAAAACTATTTTAGAATAGCACTTATATATTTCTTAGTAATTCATTCATAGAATATTTTATGAGGATCTACAAGACCCTGTACTAATAATGATTTCAAAAGGAAAAATATGATTGCTCCCCTGAGGGACCTTACAACATATCAGACTCTACAAAGTAAATTCTGGGAGGCCAACCTTACACATGACTGGGTCACACTCCCTGGCTGGGTGCTGAGGCGCTCAGTCACAGAAATGTGGTCGGTGTCTCGTGTATCTTGCTACAGCCCCACGGCTGAAGCTACCCTCACCTGTTCCTTTGTAATATAATCCCTTGCCCTGTTTAGGATAAAATCTTCCATGGAAATGCCCTGTGTGTGTCCCCTTCTCTTACTGTGCCCTTGGATATGGCCTACCCAGGTGTCAGTCAACCTGCTGAAAGTGGACATCATGAAGATACTCAGCCCCCTGAAACCTGACCCCTTGCCTCATTTGAATAGCTTCTCCTCAATAAAAGGGGTCAGAGCCTGCTCTCGCTCTCTCTCTTTCTGCAGACCCTTAAGGTCAGAGGAGCCATCACAGCAATCCCAAAGAAAAAGGTATTTGTGTCTCTTGTGTGGTTATTTCGTGCAGCCCAGTTAGCCCAGTTTATCTGGAGCGACCCCTGAGCCTTTTAGTTTCGAGAACTGAAATCCGGCAGTAAATATCTGCAATGTTACTGAAGTGATAAGGTTTACACACCTGGCTTACATAAGCATTTTAAAAAAATATTTATTTTTTATTTTATTTATTTATATGTGGTGCTGAGGATCAAACCCAGGGCCTCGCTCATGCTAGGCAGGTACTCTACTGCTGAGCTAAAACCCTAACTCCTTACATAAGCATTTTAAAACAGGATCACAAGGTGTTTTTTTTTTTTTTTTCACATGATATAATATATCCTCTTAACTATAAAGCCAAAATAATGTGTGATCCATACTTTTCTATATACGAGAATAGCCAATTTACAGTTAAAGAAGATCTAGCTCAAGGGGGAAAAAACTTATCTGGGGAATTATTTTGTTTTATCTTCACAAACAATGCTAACACTTTAACTAGTTGATAATCCATTTAATATGATTTCCAAGAAGACTGAGTATATACTTTGCAACTCAAATTTATTCCAACTATATGCAGACCCCATGACATGGACATCAACTTACTAATTTTCTAAATTTCCATTTGGACCTGATCTTCTATTCAATCTACATTTTTTGACCATTTTTTTAATCATATGGATTTTGGACTTGAATGATTCAGTGAATATATGGATGTCTTACCTGTAAATTGATCATTTTTCTGCAGCTTTTAGATAGAGGAGACCTATGAAAGTAGAAATGAGAATAGGAAGACATTAGACACAAAGACTGTAATATAGAATCCTCCTTTACCAGATAATAAGTACCTACACTGAAGCCTCAGAAAATGCCACCTATTCAGAAAATGACATTTCTAACAAGTCAACATTTCATAAGCCGTGATTCTATTATGAATATATGGGGCTTAGATAAGGATGTTGTACATCTTTATCCTGATGGTCTAACACCAACGTGTGAAACTTCCAATCAGTGTCTTTTTTTGTTTGCTCCCAGAAATTTATCCCAAGGAAATATAAGTTAAAAAACCAAACAAAGGCCTTGGTTTCTGAAGCTCAGTAGGTCTAGAAATGATTCCTTCCTGTGATTCTCTGATCTCTGCTTTGAAGCTGGGATAAAATAATTTCGGGCTGGGATATAGCTCAGTCTAGTTGGGGATATAGCTCACCTGGTAGAGTGTTTGCCTTGCATACTCAAGGCCCTGGCTTCAATCGCCATCCCCAGCACCCTATACACACACACACACAAAAAAAAAAAAAAAACTCAAATTAGGTTTTCATTCCTTTTTTTTTTTTTTTTTTAAGAGTTGGGGAGTTGTCTATGTTGCCCAGGTTAGTCTCAAATTCCTGGGCTCAAGCTCAGCCTCCCAAATAGCTGGAACAACTAGGATGGGAAAGGTTGAGCTTTCTTGAGAAGGTTTTCTGTCTGCCCACCTATCTATTTTAAAGCTGGTGATTCAGTTTAGAGTTCAAAGCTGTTTCCCTGTGTATGTGCGTTATCTATGGGCAAGGAGAACTCAACTTCATTTACACTGTTTTCATGGGAAGATTTGCAGATACAAGAGACCCAAAAAGATGACCATAAAGTGAAATTCATTCAATATTCATTACTCAAGTATTTCAAAAATAGAATACACTCAATTCTTTGGGTAATGCAGGAGAGCTATGTTGTTAAACAAAAAATGAAATCTGAAGAAAACTTATCCAGGTTTGAATCTCGCTCTTCTACTTGCTAAGCTGTGCGAATAAAGGCAAGGAATTTCACCTCTTTCGTCTTAGGTTACTTCATATGCATACTAGTGACAGCACTTATTCCAGATGACAGCAGTGAGAATATCCTAAGAAAGCATAGCAGTTTCTCTAGAAATTCTTCCTTCTTGGATCTCTTAAAGTGGCTTAAAATTTCCTGTTGGGCTGGGGATGTGGCTCAAGCGGTAGCGCGCTCGCCTGGCATGCGTGCGGCCGGGGTTCGATCCTTAGCACCACATACAAACAAAGATGTTGTGTCCGCTGAAAACTAAAAAATACACATTAAAAAATTCTCTCTCTCTCCTCTCTCTCTCTCTCTCTCAAAAAAAAAAAAAAAATCCTGTCGCTGGCTCTGGTGCACTGAGATGCATAGCCTCCTTTACTATCACCTTATCAATAAGGGCAGGAATGCAAAGAGAGCCTGTCCCAGCCACAACGCGGGTTCTAAGAACTTACCCATGGCCAGTCGGATCCCTATAACAGTGTAAATGAAGTTGAGTTCCCCTTGCCCATAGATAACGCACGTACTCCAGAGTTGGACAGGACGCACACATGCACCCAAACACCAAGTCAAACATCTTCGATACGGTAAACCCACAAGCTGGCTCTCGCCATTCGACCCGTGTCTCCCCCAGAGTCGGGCATAGCCTTACCTGCCACCTTTTCGTCGCCTGTCTCCCATTTCCGTCACTACTACCAGAATGGGGCTACAGCATCCTCCCGCAGAAACGAGGGAGGAAACCCACGCCGCACTGAGTACTGCACAGGTCTGAAAAGGCGAACACCGGGTCCAGCCCCACCGCGCGTGTGCGGAAGTGTGCATCGCTCAGAGACCACATTGCCCACAAGGCCTCCGGGCGCGTTTCCGGAGAAACCTGGAAGGCTTCTTCCGCCTTGGAGGAAAATCAGGGGGTTGGTATCTCTGGGGCTGGCCTGGAAAGCCACGCTCATATTTAAAAGTGTAGATATTATCTTCATTATAAAAAAAAGAAAACAGGCATCAGAAATTTCATATCCTGCAAGGTCGAAATCTGCAGTGTCCTTAAAGAATAATTTCCTTTTGGTGTGGTTTCTTCTAGCGCTGCTCTAGTTTGGGTCATGGAGATGAAGACGATATCACAAAGAAGCCAGGGAATAATACGTGAGATAGATGGGAAAGTAGGAGAGTTTGGATCTGCAAAACCAAGACAAGAAAATATTTCAAGAAAGAGGGAACAGTCCACTGTGATCGATGCTGCTGATAGGTCAAGTAAGATGGAAACTAATGAAGCCAGATTTAAAATTAGGTAGTCAGTGTAGTTAGGTAAATCGGGTCTAATATTGAGTGAAATCTAAAATGGAGGCCGTGCGGAGAATGACTCAGGGAAAACACAGGACAACTCATGGAATGTTAATGAAGTCCCAAAAGGCCCTAGGCCAAAGTCCACCTCAAAGAAATGTTAATGAACAGCCCCCAGCAAAAAGGTGCTGACTCAGAAGTCCTTCCTGACCAGATTACTTCTTTGGCCCACCTGTGTCCCACCCCTCGGTCCTTCCCACCTACATTCCATCACTGAAAGAACTATAAAAAGGGGAGACAACATCCCTTCCACGGATTCCACCTCTTGGGTCCCCTTCTTCCTCTGGGAAAAGTCTTTTCTGCTGTCCTTTAATAAACTTCTAATTTCTACTCTGACTTTGCCTCGGCGTGCTCTCTGGTGTTATTCTTCAACATCAGGGAAGCAAGGACTCGTCACCGGTCAACAGCTGTAACACTAAGAATTGACCACCGAGCAATGTTCGGGTCACTAGTGATGTTGAAACATTCTATTTGGGCAGAGTGGTGGAAATTTAATAAACTCTGATGAAAGTTTGATCAAAGTGGAAGGAAAAAACGGAAGGAAAGAACATAGAGAAAGCAAATACAGCTGGGCTGTGTGGCGCACGCCTGCAATCCCAGCAAATGGGAAGGCTGAGGCAAAAGGATCGCGGGTTCAAAGCCAGCCTCAGCAATTTAGCAAGGCCCTCAGTTCAATCCCTGAACAAACAAACAAACAAACAAGCAAATACACTAGAGACAATATTTAAAGTTTTGCCTGGCACTATTAAGATCCTATGTAATTCAGTAGCCAATCAACTTTACCGGCATTTTCAATGTTATGAGCACATTTTTATATTTCATCTTCTTTTAGTCTTTCTTGACCTATACCCCTCTTGAGCAATAGCTTCATTTTCCACTTTTGAATAGCTGATGCCTGTATTTTCTCACGCCCAGTTCTCTCCTCTAATTGGCTTCTTGACCCCGTCTACTCCCCTGAAACTGCTCTTGTTGAGTTACCAATGAAATTCTATTTGACAAATTAAGTAGATTCTCTCTCTGACCCTGACATTCAACAAAATTGAAATACTTCCTCTTAAGGTTTCTAGAGCATGTCATACAGTGTCATACAGCTAGTTTCACCCATCTCACCGAAAATGCTTCTGTATTTCCTTTTTTGAATACTCTGCCTGTTCCAACTGCAAATGTTGAAATACTCAAGGGTTTGGCCTTGAGCCTTTTTTTTTTTTTTGCTGGGTAGGGGGATACCAAGGATTGAATTCAGGGGCTCTCAACGACTGAGCCACATCCCCAGCTCTATTTTGTATTTTATTTAAAGATGGGATCTTACTGAGTTACTTAGCACCTTGATGTTGCTGAAGCTGGCTTTGAAATCCTTATTCTCCTGCCTCAGGCTCCTAAGCCGCTGGGATTACAGGCGTGGGCCACTGTGCCCAGCAAGCCTTTTCTTTTTGAAGTTGTTCTTTCTCTTTCTCTAAATGATTTCATCAGGGCATATGGTTTTAAATATCATTTATATGATAATGACAAATCTCCTTTATCTCTCCTCTCAATTCAGACTCTACTTCCTTATATCTGATCTGAAATCTCTTCTTGTATATCTAAAATTCATCTTCAACTTGACATGTCCAAAACAAACTCATAATTCCTGCACTTCTCCTAGTTTAATCACCACACCATCATCATACACCTGGTTACACAAGCAGAAACTTAGGAACCATTCTTGATTTCTCCTTTATTTTCCCCTCTCTCATAGTACATGTGACATGTTTTATGAGAGTAAACATTTTTATCTTGTTCATAACTATATTTTGACAACCTGCTATATAAGTACTCAGTAAATATTTGTGAATACAGAATAAAGGTGAATGTGTCTATAGTTTTATCTCCATAAATATATCATGGAGTTTTCTATATCCAAGGTCTTGAATGTATATATCAATTTGAAGAGAACTGACATTTTAATAATATTAATGTTTCAATTCAGGAGCATAGTAGATCTTTCCACTTATTTAGGTTTTTAAATTTATCTCATGAATGTTTTATAGATTCAGTGAAATTCTGTCAGATTTATCCCTAAATATTTCATATTTTATGCTATTATAAATTGTATAAGAGATTTGTATTTGTTGCTAGTATATACAGATACAATTTATATTTGAATATTGGCCTAGTAGCATTTTAAGTGTTTCCACAGTTTGTACACAGATGATTATGTCATCTTCAGATAAAATTACTTCTTCCTTTGCAGTCTGGATGCCTTTACTTGATCCTCCACTACAGCAATGAACAGAAATAATAAGAGAACAGTTTTGCTTTCTTTATTAGATATAGGACTGTTTGGGATATAAACTTCTTGAGAATATTGGTGGTTTGCATTTTTCAAGGAATTTGCCTACTTCACACAAACTCTCAAATTTATTGGCATAAAGTTGAGGTTGTATATCCTTTATATTTCTATGGAATTGGTAGTAATGTCCCTAATTTCTGATTTAAGTAATTTGTGTCTTTTTTTTTCCTTAGTCCACCTACCTAAAAGTTAGTCAAAGAACCAACTGAGTTTCATTCATTCCCAGCTTTTTGGTATTTTTATTATGAACGAATGTTGAATTTTGTCAGATACTTTCTCTGAATCATCTGAAACTATCAGGTGGGTTTCCCCTTCATTTGTTAATATAACATATTATATTGACTGATTTTCAAATGTTGAACCATTCTTGCATTCCAGAAATAAATACCACTTGGTCATCATTATATTTCTAAAATGTGCTGCTGAATTTGGTCAGTTACTTTGAGGATTTTTGCATCAATGTTCACAAGTGATTTTGGCCTCTAGTTTTCTTTCTTGTAGTCTTTATCTGTCTTTGATGCTAGGATAATGCTGGACTCATACAATAAGCTACAAGAAGCTTCCTAATCATCAAATTATTAGAACAGATTGAGAATGATTGGCATTAGCTCTTCTGTAAATGTTCAGTACAATTGTGCAGTGAAGTCATCAGGCTCAGGTTTTTTTTCTCAGAGATTTTTAATTTTCTGATTCAGTCTCATTACTAGTTATATTCAAGGACAGTTCCCTGGGTAACGTTGGAGTGACACTGTTCTCCTTGATTCTTGCTTGAAGTTATCAAGAAAGAGGTGGAAATGCAATATGCTGAGAGAAGGAGAAGCTGGCTGGAACAGCCCAACTCTATTCCTGTCTCCAACCCCCAGATATAGGATGGCCTTTAACACTAGTTGTATCATGTACTGCTTTCCAGAGTCCCTCAGCTGCAATGCAAGTGGATTACACACAGACAAGCCACCATCACTCTGGGAAGCTGACCTGCACTTTAAGGCTGAATTGCCCAAAAGTCTAGGATTTTGTTGTTCCTTTGTGGCCTATCTGTATAAGTAATAAATACATTTTATGTACAACTTGCCTTATGTGTGAGTGTTCTGTCGCGTACATGCAAATAGCCAGTGCACAATAAAGCTGGTTCATATGTAGATCTACTCAGATTTTCTATTCCTCCATGATTTAGTCTTGGTAGGTCTGTGTTCTTAGCAACTTGTCCATTTCATCTGGGTTTATCCAATTTTTGGCATAAACTTGTTCATATCACTCACAATCCTTTATATTTCTGTGGAATTGGTAGTCTTGTCTCCAATTTCTGATTTAAGTAATTTGAGTCTTCTCTTTTTCCCTTAGTCCACTTAGCTAGAAGTTGGTCAAAGAACCATCTCAGAGCGTCATTGACTTTGTTGTGTTTCTATTCATTATTTTGCTTATCCTTTCTCTAATCTTTGTTTCTTTCCTTCTGCAAGCTTTTTTTTTCCAGTTTCTAAGGTTTTAAAGTTAGGTTGTTGATTTGAGATCTTTCTTGGGGGTTTTCTGTGTGTTTTGTTTTTGATATCAGTGATTAAACCTAGGGGTGCTTTACCAGTGAACATCCCCAGCCATATATATTATATATTTTTTTAAAGAGAGAGAGAGGAGAGAGAGAGAATTTTTTAATATTTATTGTTTAGTTTTCGGTGGACACAACATCTTTATTTTATTTTTATGTGTTGTTGAGGATCGAACCCAGTGCCCCACGCACGCCAGGCTAGCGCGTTACAGCTTAAGCCACATCCCCAGCCCTCTTTCTATTTTTTGAGACAGGTTCTAAATTCCTCAGAGCCTTGCAAAGTTGCTGATGCTGCCTTTGAACTTGCAATGCTCCTGCCTCAGCCTCCTGAGTTGCTAGGATTACAAGAGTATACCATTGTGCCTAGCTCTTGTTTTTTAATGTAAGAATTTATAGCTATAGTTTTCCATTACGTTGCTTTCACTATCTTCTGTAAGTTTTGCAATATTATGTTTTGTTCATCCATCTATAAATATTTCCTAATGTGAGATTTTTTTCTTTGATCCATAAATTCATGAATTTTTCCAGTTTATTTTGCTTCTAATTTCTAATTGCTTCCAGTTGTAGTTGGAGAAAATACTCTGTATGGACATATAACAATTTGTGACCTAACATGGTCTATCCTGAAAAATGTTACATATGTACATGGTAAGAGTAGCATTCCATTTTTGGATCATGCTCTAATGTCTATTAGATCTAATTGATATATTGCATGTTTTCGAGTCCTCTATTTCTTTAGTAATGGATTTTATCCATTATTGAGAATGGGATACTGATATCTGCAGTTTTAATTATTTAACTATTTCTCCATTCAATTCTGTCATTTTTGCTTCTCAGATTTGATGCTGTGCAATTGGGTGAGTAAATATTTATATTTTCTTGCTGTATTGGACCTTTTTAAATATATAATGTCCTCTATTTCTTATAAACTTTCTGGATTTAAAAGTTTGTTTGTTCGCCTCCCCT